ACGAATCAACTTCTGGAATAGCTTTCTGTTTGGATCGATCCATCGGCCGGTTAGAATGTTGAGTACTGTTTTTTCCACATCTATAGATGACATGATTTATGCTGTTGTATATGATTGATCGTTTATGATATACTTTTTCCACCACAGTTCAATTCGGTTTTTTTCATAATTTGAAATCGGATTTTTATAATGGAAGTGAAGAAAGAATATAATCTAAATACTTTAGATGGATCGTATAACCTGTCCCCATATCAAAAGAGATGGGAGCGCTTGTGGCCGAGTCTGCACCCGCTTGGCAGGATGCTCGCTCCACTGGAAATCGGGTGCAAATAATATGCTAAAATCTCCATGTAGAATATGCGATAAACCTACATTATCTTATACGGGCTATTGCTCCAAGCATGCCAAAAAAATTTATCGTCGTGCTGAGAGGGAGAGGCAACGAAAAAATAATTATAGCGTTACTCCGTAACTGTATATTTTTTTTATACTCAGATTGTGTAGTAACTTTATTAAAGTCAAAGTATATAAAATACAAATAAAAACAAAAAGAAAACTAACTAGACTCTGTAACTGTATATTAGCAGGAGGCGGGACCCTGTATAGAAGCTTCGGGTTAATTAACCATCATGTATTTATTTTTCGCATGTATTAATAAAATTTTTTTTCTTGGCAAAAGTGCGTGAATTTTTTTCACGCAGTCACATGATTTTTTATTTGAGTAATGGGATTTTATTACTTAAACATAACATAAATATAATAAATTCATCGCTAACGTGAGTAATGGATCATATTATATATACTACATTAAATGCTTTTAGAGAATCGTGGCCGGATGTAGATACGTCTGTGTGGGATATCTTAGCTGGAAGAATTCGTGAATTGCTTTATGCCCAGAATGTCACGAACCTATTTTCACAAATCCGCAACAAAAAAATATTACCATTCTTACAGATAGACGCATAATTCATAGTGTTTGTCTTGAGTGTCCTGCTACCAAAGCCGAAGAAAAAAATGATGTTTCTCAGATCAAAGCCTCACAGGATACTAAACCCTCGAATCATAATGCTGATATAGTTGAAGTTCCTATTATAAAAGAACAAGAAGTCTTAGAACCTATTTCTTATCCGGAAAATAGTACTTTGCATAATAATTCACGAAATGGCCTTGAAACTAGCTCTGCTGAGAATGATTTAATATCTGACTCCGAAATCAAACAGCAAACTCAAGACATTAATAATTTGCAGGATGTGTGTTCTACTGAAGATATTTCTTCCGAGAAAGCCCCATTGGAGGATAGAGAGATGAAGAATACAAGAAAAAGGTTAGTAATGAAATTAGGCAAAGAAATAGGGAAAAAAAGCTTCGAGATTTGGATTTACCTGGTACTTCTGATATCCCTTCGTCAGAATTATCCACAAGTTCGCATCCTATCCTTAATAACCCCGTCTTATCAGAACAAAATGCTAAAATAAAAGCACCTGAAATAGATATACAGCCTTTGATACAAGAATTGCTTATAAAACCTTCGGAAGAAGATTGTGTTAAGGTTATTAATGTGGAGGAGAGTATGTCTGTTGATTAATCGCCTGCAATCGAATTAGCCTATCTATATGAAAAAACGAAATTTGCTGAAATTAGGACTATACGAGCCAAACAAGATGAAATCATGAGCTGGTATTGTTATAGAAAGTATTTTGAAAAAAGGCATAGTGAGATTTTACCTGGAATCCTAAAGAATGGACTTGTTATGAATAAAAAAGCCTATGAACTTGCGAGTGGGCAGATTTATGATGAAATGCTACAGTATCTTTCAGGAGTCTCTCGTG